TGACCAGCTAGGTACTGAGCTAAGGTGTGATTGAGGCAGTAGTAAGTCAGCTGTGGCTGGTGGAGCTCGGCCAAAAGTGGTTATGGCCAAATAACTGCCCGTGATCCAAAGGGTGCAATCCTGACCATTGAAAGAATCAATGGCTGAGATTGGGGTATGAAAGATGGACGGTTTTGGGCAATGAAAACCACCCATAGGCTATAAAAGAGATGTATTTCCGTAGAAAATGGGATCTCTCACGCCTAAGGCGATTTATCCCCAAAACAGCCGAGAGAAATGATGATGTCCGAATTCCAGTCCAGTCGGCGCCGGAGTGCTCCGATCATATTCGAGAGAAATCCGGCATCATCCGGGAGAAAGGAAATTTACCCGAGAGAAATTAAAAATCATCCGGGAGAAAGAGATAATCTCCAAAAGATGATCGGGAGAAATAGAGAATGTCCGAGGGATGAAGAGGAATGGTCGGCGTCTCGCGATGATAGTCAGGGATGCGAATGATCGGTTGATCATTTCGCGACTATATCGAAGAGAAGCGGTTATTACCGTGACCATGTCCGAGAAAAGATCAGGATAAGGAAAATTATCCGAGAGGATGAAAACTTAGCCGAGAGAAAGGCAAGTTATCTGAGGAATAAAGAAGGAAGGTCGGATGTCTCTCGATGGTAGTCGGATGATACACAGGATCGATGGATCGATCCGTGACCACATCCGAGAGAAACGGTTATACCATTACCATATACGAGCGAAATGAGAGATATCCGACAAGGGACAAGATTAACCGGAAGCATCACGATGGTAGTCCGATGTCTCACAGATATAGTCGGGGGATGCGAGTGATCGGATGATTGGTTCGCGACTATATCCGAGAGAAACGGTTAAGCCGTGACTACATCCGAGAGAAACTCCGAGCGATGGATGTTCGCCCGAGAGAAAGGAAGAACATCCGGAAGAGGAAATGATTAGCCGACAGTCTCGCGGTGATAACTGGATGACGCGTGGGTTCGGATAGATTCGTGACTATCACCAGGAAAAATGGTTATATGCTGACCTTATCCGAGAGGATGTCCAGGCGATGGATGTTCGTCGGAGTGAAAGGAGAGACATCCGGGAGGGAAGAAGATTACCCGGCAGACTGGCGGTGATAGTCGGGACACGCGAGAGATCCGAGGATTGGATCGTAAGTATGTCCAAGAGAAACGGTTATACTATGACTATCACCGAGAGAAGACGGCTATACTGAGAGGATAGCCGAGGAAAATCATATCGTGCCTAGAGAACGGCCAAAGGGAAGAGTTTCCATCCGAGAGATTATCGGGGGCAATCGGATTGCCGAGGGATCCTTACCGAGGGACGTGAGATCTCTCGAGGATGGTCGGAGGAAACGGGCTACGATCGGGAGATAGCCAGACGTCCTAGACTACGATCGGGTGAAGCGTGGCTATTACCGAGAGAAGCAGGATTATTGTAACGGCCGCGAACCTTGCTAGGTTCACTGGGCTGGGCCATGGTAGGGAATAGGGAAAGACTTGTCGGATAAAACAAATTAACCTGTTGCATGGCCCGGAAGGAAGGGCTAAGTCCGGGAACAATAGGGACTTCGCCGATGAAAGGAGTAGAGGATTGAAGGTCGGGAAAAGTTAGCCCGGGATGGTGCAAAGTTAGCCCGGGATGGTGCAAAGAGAACAGAAGGACCGGGCTAAAACTAGCTCGGGAAGCTGATGGGCTTCAGCTGCAGGACCGAGCTAAATCTAGCTCGGAAGCTGAAGTTGAGCTCGGGCAGCTGGACGGTTGACGAATGGTCGTGACGGTAGGATGAATGATCGGATGAAATGATCCGGATGGGATCATTTCTCACGATTCCAGTCAGGCAATATCCGAGAACTCTGACTACGTTCGAGAGAGGTATGACTATGATTGGAGAGATCATGAAGGCAACGGGAGAATGAGTGTGCGGTTGGACTAAGGGACGACCCTAGTCATGCCATGGGGCTGAATAGCCTCTCTGATCTAACCTAGTCATGTGGGGATGGTTGGTTGAATGACTAAGGAAGGATCAGAGATGGTGAATAAGCTGACTGGAGCGATAAAGGAGCTGGTCAAGGTGCAGCTACACCTCGTGAATATGGCTAAGGTATGGACTAGCTAGACTGTAGCTCGAATGATATTACCTAGGGTATCGGCTAGACTAAGACTTGAGCTGGATGGCAAGGATGTTGGCTAGTTCGTAGCTGGAATGTTACTACCTAGATAGTCACTAACCTAGTTCAAAGTAGAATGGTCTAGGGAAATGGAACAAGCTAAAACCAAGGGAAAGTGTGGTTTAAATACTAAGGGATTTCCGCTGCATAAGATAGTCTAAGCAATCAAACCTCATAGAGGAGATTTTGCTAAGTGAAAGCTTTAGAAGGGAGGTTCAGCCGGGGAATGCGGCCTGAACATGTAACCCTCGTACCGGGGTCAAGGATGGCCGGGTCGGGGTGTTACAGTAGATTTTTCCAACCTATCACCTTATGTAATGTAAGTTGTAAGTTCATATCCACGATTTTGGTTAATAGACTAAAGACTCATTTATCTGCGATAGTATCAGAGAATCAAGCCACATTTGTTCCTGGTCAAATGATTACAGATAACATCATTGTAGCCCATGAGGTATATCATGCTCTCAAATCTAGTAAACGACATTTAAAATCATATATGGCCTTGAAGACATACATCACCAAAGCATACGACCACCTTGAATGTGATTTTTTACAAGAGACAATGCTCATAGAGGGATTTCATTCTAAATGGATCTCTTGGATAATGGAATGTGTTCGATCAGTAACATATTTGGTCTAAATAAATGGTGCTCCAAGAGGTCACATCCGTCCAAGCAGAGGGATCAGACAAGGCGATCCTTTGTCCCCGTACCTCTTCATTTTATGTGTTGAAGTCATGTCTTAAATGATGAATACTGCAGCTACAGAGCGCAAGATCACAGGGATCAAACTACGACTGCAAAGCCCAACAGTAAATCATCTTCTGTTTGCAGTTGAGTCGCTGTTTTTCTTCTTAGCTAATGAGCGAGCTGGGAAGGCCATTAAAAGAGTGTTGGAAGTATATGAAGCTGCTTCGGGACAAGCTGTCAATATGAAAAAGTCTGCAACAACTTTTGGGAAACGAGTTTGTCCAGATATCAAGATGAGAAGACTTCTGAGAATACACAATGAAGGAAGAGGAGGAGGAGGTAAATATTTAGGAGTTCCAGAAAAATTTGGAAGTAAAAAAGGAGAAATGTTACAGTACATAATCGGTAAAGTTAAGGAGAAAACTCAAGTGGCACAATAAGCTTTTATCACCATGAGGAAAGAAGTGCTCTTCAAATCAGTTGCTACAACTATGCCTGTTTTCAGCATGCAAATTTTTAGTTTACCAAAGACCATATGCGATCAAATAAACAACATCTTAGCTCGATTCTGGTGGGGTGCAGAAGATGATGTAAAAAGAATGCATTGGTTATCTTAGAGTCGCCTAAGTCTACCACAAAGGGAAGGAGGATTAGGTTTTAAAGACCTAGAAAACTTCAATCTAGCTTTACTTGGGAAAGATATATTGGGAATTCTTCATAATCCAACGTGCCTAATGTCAAGAGTGATTAAAGGGCGATATTTCCATGATAGTAACATTCTTCTTGCTTAAGATCGAAAGAAAAGCTCCTTAGGGCAGAGATTTCGTAAAGAAAGGATTACATTTTGAAATTAGTGATGGATCTATAGTGAGTGCATGGCTAGATCCTTGGTTACCAGAACATCCACTGAGACCTCCAAGGCCGAGAAACGAAACAATGGACCATTGTTATGTCAAAGATTGGATTAACTCCGGAGAAAATAGTTGGAATGAAGAAAAAAAACTTGGTCATGGAGGAGGATGCCAAAAAGATACTGAAAATTAAACTAAGTATGAGATCTACAATAGACTATCTGGCTTGGCATCAAAACACAACGGGGCTCTATTCAGTTAAATCAGCGTATTGGCTCTCTACACATCTGAATACCATACCTCTGCCGAACAATCTGCCTGGGGATGTCTCATTAATACAAAGTATATGAAAACTTTGGACGTCCCCAAAAATTAAACACTTCCTTTGGCGAATGACCTCCAATGCACTCGCTACGAGAAGTGCTCTTCATAGTCGTCATATCAGAGCCAATAGAGAATGTCTAAGATGTTTGAGTGGAGAGGAAACTACTCAGCACCTGTTTTTTGAATGCTATTATGAAAAAGTGTTTGGCGAGCAAAGGGATATCCCAACTTTGGTCTAATAAACACAATAAGGTCTGTTGAAAATAAATTAGGGATATTTGTGCAAATCAAAGTCAAATGCCCCGACAAGTACATCAACTGGCTCTCTGAATTTTATGGAGAATCTGGAAATACAGAAACAATTTAATCTTTCAGAAGCAAACCATTAATTGGCAGCAAACGCTTACATTAGCAAAGCAGGATTCGCAAGAATGGCTAGATGCTCAAGACCATGTTACTAACATTCATCGACCGTAGGGCACAACAAGTGGAACTAACAACAGTACTGCCGGAAGATGGATACGACCACCACTTGGCTGGATGAAGTGTAAATATGATGGCTCATATTCACCTCTCTTACAATCGAAGGCAGGTTGGCTAATACGGGTTCAGAATGTAATTACCAAGGGACGGGTCAAGCAACTACAAACATATTATCCAACATATTGGAGAGTGAAGCACAAGCTTTAATAATAGCTATGCAACATTGTTGGTCTAAAAGCTATCGTCGGGTTATCTTTAAAGGAGATTCACAAATCTTGCAGAGCTTTATCAATAAACAATCTCTACATTTTGGGTTGATAAATTGGTTAAGAGAAATATGGTACTCGTCCAACAAGTTTGAAAAAGTCAAGTTCACATGGATTCCAAGAAAATAGAATTATTCAGCTCACATACTAGCAACATATTTTAATAATTACAAAGTATGTTTCGTTTACTTTGATTATATTCCCAATGTACTTGCTGAAACTTAACAGCATAATTGCTCGAGATCATCTGTATAAGTATTTCTGAGGAAACAAAAAAAAATGATTTCGGTTATGCAAAATATTACTTTATCAACCAAGTACGTCTTCTTCTACCTTTATAAGCATCTTACATTACAAGCTTACATATAAATTACAAAACCACTCCTTTTCTATGAAGAAGAAAAATCATCATATAGTTGTGTCATTAGCCATGGACGAGACTGATCGAGTTAATATTACCCAGAAGATAACTCGAGAAGGCCACGAGCGATGAATTGGAGTTGGGATTGATAATGAATGTCTGAATTGCATAAGTTTTGAGACGAAAAAATGCATTGATTTGATGCCCAAAGTGATGAAACCATCTCTACAATTGCTTTTTATTGATTGCCAAATTTCCACTGCATTATAGTACATAATCGAATTAGCAAAAGAAGATGATGCAAATGCTTTTAATTATTTCCACTGCATTATAGTACATAATCTAATTAACAAATGCAGAGAGAAAATGTTAGAGAATTGAAATAAACCTGTCGTTAGATTGAGTCTTTTGCGATACTCGTTATAAGATGGAAACGGTTTTAGGATCTTATCTTTGTTGTAACGAGCAAATAAACCTCCAAATAAATAACTTTCAAGAGGTTGATCTGGCGAAACCTCGATCGAGATCCGGGCTATGATAGATTATCACAAAAAAATTATTAAAAAATATCTAAAACATAAATGATAATATGTGTATATGCAGTTTGAATCAACAAAATATATATATGAGGCAGTTTGATCAAGAAAATGTTTCGTATTTGATGAGCATGTCATATAAAACAACATGGTAAACATATTTAAGAAATAATAATTTGATTGCTATCACTTTTGATTAATAAGATTTCTATCCGTTTTGGCTGGCCACATCTACCACGACAAATTGTTACTAACTTCGTCTTTATCATGATTAGATAAGTTGGATAATTGAAGTAAGGAATCGATGTATATGTATATGCTTGCAAGAGAGGAAACTTAGGCTCACCCATATTCTCAAAGAAGCAATAAACGACTAGAACCAATATCGCAAAGAAGCCTCCATTTCTTGATTTCGCTTTCATCTATATACTCAATTCTTCTATTATTTACTTTGTTCTGTTTTTTGGTGTTCGTTTTAATCTTTCACTTGTTCTAAATTCGAAATAAATGTGATAGTTGTTCACTTAATTTATTTATATAAGATGTACACGGGTTCCGTTCCCAGAGTTTCTTCAAGTCAAGAGAGTTAAAAAATTTAAAACCGTTGCTATGAAAACAAATGATTAGCCGTGCTCAACATGCCTTGACTTGAATTAAATTATATTATAAGTCAAATACAACTTACAATATGGTTTTTGTGGACTTGGTGTTATTTGGAAAAAAAAACATGGGTTTTAATTGTTAAAAAAAGAATTTGTTTTTGATTGAAAATTTATAAAATCTTTTCTTTTCGTTGTTTTATTTCTTCTATTTGAACTTGTTTTACTACTTCAACAGATTTTCATTAGCTAATTAATGTAAACATGTTTATACTGGTCTTTTTAAAATAATTTAATAATAACTTAAACGATTCAGAAATGTAAATTGGAGGATGTTTACGTATTTGTGTTTCTTTAACAGCTTAAGTCACAAAATAAAATGCAAAGTGTTCTTATATTTTGTATAAATAGATAAGAACATTTTTAGAATCCAAAGTGTTTCTTTATATGTATGCAAGAGAGGAAAGTTTTCTTACCCATATTCTCCAAATAGCAATAAACGACTAGAACCAATATCGCAATCAAACCTCCATTTCTTGATCTCGCTTTCATTTTTTTTACTCACTTCTTCTGTTACGTCCTTTGTTCTTTTTTTGTGTGTGTGTGTTTTTTAAATACTTCTGAGTTATTTTGAAATGTTAGGAAATGTGTGATACATTTTGAGTTGTTCACTAGAGTTATTTATAATGATGTAGATGGTGGATCCAATGTTTCCGTAGTTTCTTCAAGTCAAGAGGGTTAACCGTTGACCATTGCCATAAAAACAGATATTTTAAACCGTGATCAGCACGTCTTAGACTTGAATTTAACCTATGGTATCGGTCGAATTCAACTTATATTATGGTTTCTGTTGACTTGGTGTTCTTTGAAGAGAATCATCGTTGGTATATATATATATATATATATATATATATATTTTTTTTTTAAATAAATCACTGTTCTTTTTTTTGAAAATGGCCTTCAAAATAGATCACTGTTAATTCCATATGATATCTTTAAACCAATTGTATCGCTTACTTACGCACTAAAATGTTTTGGTCTTGACAAAATATTAAAAAAATCATATTGGAACCGCGTGCCTCCAAACATTCAAACATCTCCAACCTTATCTCCAACCCTATTTCTAATCCTACTTCATTTTCAATTCTAAATACTATTTTGGAGTAAAATTCTCTTTAATTCTACTCAATTTTCAACTCCAAAATAGAATAAACCTAAATTCTACTTCATATTTGGAGTAGATCTAAACTCTACTCCATTTTGGAGTTAGACTTTTTTATTTACAAATTAACCTTTTAGATTTAAAATAATTATATTTTATACTATTTAATATTTATAAAAAATATTATAAAACTGATAATTCTAAATATTTAAACAGTGCAATTATTTCTAAAAAATAACAAAATATAATAAACTTTAAAATACATAATTAGTGCTGAAATTATGATAAATAATATAAATAAATTTAAGATAACAAATACAAAAAACATTAATGGTAATTTTTTTAGTAATAGTAATGTTTAAATAAAAATTGCATATGCTTTTTTGTGATGTTATGTAATTTTCATTATTTGATAAATATTTAAGTTATAGTTTTTGAAAGAAATTGTAAATAATAAAATAAGTAGAATTTATTTGTAAATTTTAAAACTAAAAAGTATTTATAATAAAATCAAATAAGAATCTATTTAGAATATTCCTTTTTGGAGTAGAAAATGGAGAAATATATTGGAGCAAAACATAACTCCATTTTAGAGTTACTCTATTTTAGAGTAGAAAATGAAGAAATACATTGGAGATGGTCTTAGCTGATCATATTGATAACGATTCACTAGGCTAACACAATTTTTGAAAATTTCAAAGATTCAAGTTTGTGTCCAGAGTTTTAAAATCATAAAATAAATAAATAATAAACAATACAAGTAAAAGTATTTTCAATTCATTATCCATTTAACTGCATACAAATTCTATTTAAAATTCATTTGATATTTTAAAAACAAAAACAGATAATAAATAGGAAAAACATGATTCCTAAAAATTTCAATTTTGATATTTTAAAAACAAAAAACAGATAATAAATAGGGAGAACATAATTCCTAAAAATTTCAATTTAGAAACACATCAAAAACATTCGTTTTCATTTTTAAAATACAAACAAAAACTTGTATTTTATTTTGAGAAACATAATGTTTACTTTGATTCATAAAATTTCTTCGATAAAAAATCCATCACTTGGGAGGATGTATTCAAAGTAGAATTTAGAGTGATTTGTATTAAAATCACAAATTTTCTGTTATTGAAACATAAATTTTAAAAAGTTATTTAAAATTCAGTGTGATTGAATTAGTGATTTGAAAGTGTATTTTCAATTTCACTGTTATTGAAAATAATTTAAATAATAGGATTTTAAGAAATTTGGAGTGATTTTAAGATATTTTGATAGAATTTCCTAGTTAAAAACATAAAAATTCAAATCTCATAGTTTTAGGTAGAGTTTGATAGAATTTTGATATTAAATCATAAAAATTTTCATAATTCAATCAACTCATCTAAAAACAAATTAAAACTCACATCTTTTCAAATCATTTCAAATATTAAGTTGAATACACCCTCAATTTGGGATACTTAATAATCAATGTCTTTTATCGTATTGTCTTTTAACTCTACAAAAGAAAAGTCAAGCTGTTGGATATTTGAACATCTCTAAGTTGCTTTACCATGTTGGTGTTCAAACATAATATAGTTAATAGTTTCTTCTACTAAACAACGCCCATAACATAGTTGATTGATCTATATTTACACACATTTTTACCTTCACCGCTTTGCTGTATGAAGTGCATATATGATATAATTCTTAAAATGAAGTGTTTGTGTCTTTGGGATCATTTTTAGAGGAAGGCCAAATCTACGTATCATGTAGAGCATGTTGACTAATCTCGTAACCACTACTTTCTCATCCCATTTTTATTGTCCTGATTTCTATTGATTTACCACTTAGTTCTAAACCACACATTTGTTGATTTACCATCAGCTAAAAAATCTGAAATATTTTGTAGCAGTTTTACATACAATTTTTATTCTTTTTAACTTTCATGATAACGTCATTATTGAAACATTCTCATCCCGTAATATATATTTTTTTTGATTTTGAAGGGAATTACTTTTTACAAGAAAATGTTAAAATGCCATTAACAAAGTAATGAAACTTCTTTCCATGGGCAAATCGGTCATTGGAAACATCGTAGATTCTGTAATACTAATATACTCGCGAGCCGGACTGCAACCGTTCTTCTTCGGTCGCTTTTTTTTTCCGCTTTCTACTCACAACAAAATCCCAAAGCCGCACGCGTGTGCTCCACGCGCCACCACTATCTCTCTGTCTCCAGCATCCTCTTCTCTCCCTCAGATCGTCGCTAAGCTCCGGGAATATCGTCTGCGCTTTTCCGTCGAACTAAATTCCTAGCCTTAGGAGGATCAAATCCCATTTTTAGGGTTTTGTTACCGAAACTGAAACCTTCGAGTGAAGGTTTCGCTGCAGATTTTGACTCATCGGAACATGTGAATTGCTGTTTACAATCAGTGAACAATGGTTGATAGCAGTAATAAGAAGAGGAAAGAGTTCATCAGTGAAGGAGACATCGCCGCTCTTTTGCAGAGGTTTCTTTCTAAAACTTCGTTAACTCGTCAATTGATCCTGTGAATACTGGGATTGACTTATTGGGTGTGGGATTTTGCCTTTTTTGCTGCAGATATGACGCGATGACGATACTGAAGTTGCTACAGGAAATGGCATATCACGCTAAACCCAAGATGGATTGGAATGAGTTGGTGAAGAAGACTAATACTGGAATTACAAATGCTAGAGAATACCAGTTGCTGTGGCGGCATCTTGCTTATCGAGATTCTCTCTTCCCCATGGAAGATAATGCTCAACTTCCGGTTCGTATTAGTTTCAATTGTCTTGTGCTATTGATTGCCCTGATGATGTATAGGTTAGCAATTCAATTTGGTATCAGATTAGGGATTCATCAATCTTGTTAGCAATTCCATTTGGCATCAAATTAGGGATTTCTCTGCTGTTATCTGCTCTTTTTCTTGAGATGTTGTTTATCTCTGGCTGTATGGGTAGAAGACAGAGGACCCTCTGTTGTATATAAACTATGTTTGTTAATAAACTATCTTAAACTCTTGTTTTGGGATTCTTAGTTTTTTACCTAGGAGATAGAGTAGCTGATGAGTGGCTATTGTACTCAATATTGTTGTGTGTGTGTACCTTTTCTAGACAAGTCTAAGAGAGTAAGCTCTTGTTGTTATGATCTAATTTGTTGATGGATATTGAAACTCAAGGTGGGATGAATGTCCTGATCTTGTCGTAGCTGTGCATTACGAATTTGTAAATTTTTAACGAACGCTAGCTTGTGCAGGATGATGATAGTGACATGGAGTGTGAATTGGAATCTTCCCCTGCAGTCAGCGTCGATGCAGTAGCGGAAGCTGTTGCGCATGTGAAAGTAAGAAGGAAATAGAAGATACCATTTTCTGAGTTTCTTCTTCTTTCCTCTCAAAGTCCTTGTTCAGTTTGTTAGAGAAGAGCTGGTTCTATATACTTTTGCATCATAAGCGCTGTTTCTCTGTGACATTTTCACCCTTGAGATATTTGAGTTCCTGCTGTTTATCTATTTACCTTGCTTTAATTATTTTGTTCGATACACTATTTTTAGAGTAATATAGGTGATTCTTTAGATAGTTTTCTAGATATTCAGCAATAGTTTGGTGGAAGTTTTATTGAGATTTAAATTATTTTGATATCTCTACTATGAGAGAACTAGCACATTGTGATTGCATTTTCGTTTTATCTGATAAACTCATGAAGCGCAGTAGAAATGCTATGTATTATCTACACCAAAGACAAGATTTTTCCATGGCAAGGAGCTTACTTTTGCATTTGTCTTTTCTCTAGTTTTCTTATCAAAGTTTTTTTAAGATTGTCCCTTTGACTCTTTACTTGGCTATTTATGTCTGCTTATTCCGAGTTCCTAATGATCCGAATACTAAGTTTCCTTTTTTTTCTCTCCTTTTTAGGTGATTGCTGCTTCCTATGTGCCAAGTGAGTCTGACATTCCTGAGGACTCAACCGTTGAGGCTCCCTTGACCATTAACATACCTTATGGCCTGCAAAAGGGGCCACAGGAACCATCAGACTCGTATTGGTCGTCAAGAGGGATGAATATCACTTTTCCTGTTTCTCTTCAGAAGCCAGCTGAGGGACAAAATGGAAATGGGTTAGCCAGCAGCATGGCTCCTCGGAAGAGAAGAAAAAAATGGTCAACTGAGGAGGATGAGGAGCTGATCGCTGCTGTGAAACGACATGGTGATGGCAACTGGGCCCTTATGGCTAAGGAAGAATATGAAGGAGAGAGAACAGCCTCACAACTCTCTCAGGTTGTAATTTATTTGGCTGATATTGTTTCGTATCTTTGGATAATCTTCATGTACTTTGTGCATCCTCTCGTATCAGCATGCGTGAGTGTTCTTGTGTAGTTTATGGATTTTTTCCTGTTTATGTCTCTGTGGTATATGCATAGTCTTTTTCTTAACCATCATGCAGAGTGCCATTTGGTAGTAACACGAGTATGGTATAGGAATCTGAGCTTCAGATGAAGCGAGTATGATCTAGGATAGTCCCTAGGCATGAGGACATTGCCATCCCTCTTTCATCTTTTTTCAGTTAGTGCCCTGTTCTTGGTATTACTACGTGATTATGCACCATTACCCTGAGTTCTGTTAAGGATAATGTTGGCTTAGTAGAGAAGAACCATAGCAGACCCCTTGAAACAAAATGCATGAGCTATTTATATGTGCTTATTCTAAGTTCCTAATGATCCAAATGCTTTCTGTTTATCATATTTCTCTCATTGGGTTGGTGGTAACAATAAAAACTGATCTTATTTGCAGCGGTGGGGGACTATAAAAAAAAAGTACCTAGAGATGGTAAACTCTTCTTCCCAATCTGGCCTACAGCGAACAGAAGCACAATTGGCAGCTAATCGTGCATTATCTTTGGCAGTGGGAAATCGAGCTCCCTCAAAAAAGCTCGCAGTAGGTATGCGTAACAGAAGATCCTTTCCAGATTATCCTACTATCTATTTGTTCGTCTAGGTTCTGGCTAAATTGTTTTTTTCTTTTTTCTTGCAAAGTTCAGATTCACTCAATTAGATTTGTCAATTTGACTGTGTTTGTTTAGGTATACCTCCAACTCCTTCATCCGGTAGCATCGCGGGAGCACAAGCCAATGGTGCCAACAGTGGTAGTTCACTGCAAGGTCAACAACAATCTCAGCCAGTAGTTCAAGCACTGGCCCGGGCAGCAACATCCGTTCCAGCTGCGAAATCTCGACTCACCGCAAAGAAAACAGCAGCAAATAACTCCACTTCGAGAGCGGAACTAATGGTAACAGCCAATTCAGTAGCTGCTGCAGCCTGTATGTCTGGCTCGGTAACTGCTGCATCAGTGGCAAAGGTTGAAACAGGAAAGAACGCTGTTCCTGTGTTAGTGCCAAAGGTTGAACCCGTAAATCCCGCTTCCTCCATAGCCTCTTTCCCTCGTCCATCCGGTTTATCATCATCAGTAACGAATGGCGAGCCTGCAAAAACCACTTCCACTTCTGCAGCCTCTTTCCCTCGTCCATCAGGTACTGTCTCAGCATCCAAGCCTGAGCCTGTTAAATCAGCTTCGCCAGCCTTTACCCCACGCCCATCAGGTATTATATCAGCACCAATTGCTGAGCCTGTGAAACCCGCTTCTCCAGCCTCTTTCCTTCGTCCATCAGGTACTCTATCAGCATCAAATCCCGGTCCTGTAAATACCGCGTCGCCTCGTCCATCAGGTACTTTATCAGCACCAAAGGCCGGTCCTGTAAAGAGTGTCGCTGCTGCTGCTACTGCTAGTGCTACTGCTACTAACACTCAAGTGGCTGGACCTTCGAATATAAGGAATGCAGTTAATGGAAGCCCGAGACCCACGATGTTTCCATCAGCTAAAAAGCCTTCACTTGTGGCTCCTCTCTTCAAAGGACCTCCTACAATAATCCAGAATAAATCAGTTCCTTCTACTTTTGCGTCTTCAAGGTTGGCCCCTATACACACAGTTCCAACGGCGACTGGAACTCCACAAAAGCCAAGTGCAGGAGCGGCGGTTACCGCCACCGCCACTGGCAAGCCGGTTGTTGTACAGAAAGAGCAAACGCAGGAAATCAGAGCAAGCCCCTTGGCTACAACAACACTTCAGCCAAATAAAACAATCTCAACAAACTCAGTGGTTAACACAGTGAAGCCAGTGGCTGAAAAAGTGGTGACTCCACCTGAAGTTGGTAGTAGTAGCACCGATAAAGGTTCGTTGGCCAAACCATCTGAGAAAGAGAGTAGTACCACGGTTTCACCTCTCGTTGTTGCTGAGGCTGAATCAAAACCCAAAGATGAAACAAGTAAAGAAAAAAGTACAGATGCTGCAACCGTGACAGGGACCGTGCAGAAGGGGTTGTAGTTTCATTTGCAGAAGTATTTGCTGCATTGTATTTTAGTGTTTTTCATTTAATGTTTTTTCTTCTTCTTAGGACTCAGACAAGAATACGCTGATGTACAGTAGTTCTCACTACTTACTACTAATTCGTATTATGAATTCAAATATACTTAAAAAAATCCCCAAAGAGATTTTCAAAGTGGAAGCAAGATAAAGATACAGTTTGATTTGAATCTCATTGGCCAATAGTTTTTGGTACAAGGCAGTAAAGCTAGAAAACAAAAGGCGAATAACAAAGAGATGATTGATTTGATTGGATTATTCAGGAAGCCTTCCAGGTTGCTTAACGTAACTAGACTGTTTTTGCAGAGCTGGAGATGGACTGACACAAGAGAAGAGAGATGATGCAGATTGCTTCTGTTTGCTATGCTTCTTTAACTTGACACCAAACAAGAACGACCGTAATGGAATCCTTGGTCTTCCACTAGACGAGCTCTTGCTCGGCGTTGTTCTTGCTTCTGTTGCACTTGAGATCCCAAGATCCTCTTCTAGTTTACTTAGAATCCTCTCTGCTTCGGTTTTCAACGCTCTTACACGATCAAGACCTGATTGAAGTTCGCTTGAGACCCTTTTGTTCTCTTGTTTCATATTAAGTATCTCTCCATGGAACTTTGCAGCTTGGTAACCACTAATCTCTGAATCACTTACTTTACTACCACCTGACTGAGACGTGACTCTCGCGATTTCTTCTTGGATATTAGCTAACGATGCATACCTTCCTTGGAGTTCGTCTTTAAGAACCGCACTGTTCTCTAGCCATAACTGTAGCTCTGTTCGAATCTCTCTAAGGTGTCTATAGATAGGCTTTGCCTCTGATGCAACTGCAGTATTACTACTGCTACTTCTTGGAGAATCCAGTCGTTGCTTGCTTTCGATTCTCAGCTTCGATAGCTCTGATTTCAGATCCTGAACTGTTGTCTGGTACTTCTGTATCTGATGTACCGATGTGCTAAATCTTAACCAGAACTCAAGATTCTCTTCCAACACAGAATCAATATCTGCACGCACTTTGTCTTCCACAGTTGGAATCTTTGTTCTTGGGCTGTCATCAACGTCTGCAAACTTCACTCTTACCTCATTTGGCTTTATTCTTCCAGGTGTTCTCTTCATGTCTCCAACTTGATGATGCGGCGTAGTGGAAACAGAAAAGTTCGAACTTGGTGAAATGCTCACACTTTCTCGCTGTCCTTGATCATGGTCCAACTGGTTACTTCCTTCCACTTGATTCGGAGACTCTTTCTCGTGCGTGTCGAGTTTCTGGCGTAAAGTCTGAATCTCTACGTCTTTGTAAGCAACAGCGTTCTTGAGTTCTCTCAACTGTATTGCCAGCTCGAAGAATCCTTCTCTGTTCTTCTTCTCAACTTCACCTAACTTTCTCTTTACTTCTCTATAATCCCTTAGTACTGATGTGTATTCATCTAACAGAACCTTCTCTCTATCCTCCATGCCATCTGGTAACAACTGTCTCCAGTTTGGTGTCTCATCATCTTCGTCTTCCGTAACCATCTCTTCTCCTTCTGTTCCGAAACAAGTGCTTGCTGTTTCTGATAAAGCAAAAGAATCTTTAATCTCAGGTTTCTCTTCTTCACCTCCTTCAATCTCTTCACTCTCTTTAACTACAGTGTCATCTTTCTTCCTTTCCTCCACACTACTCCTCGTTTCTGCCTCCTTTGTTTCTGATCCTGAAATAACAGGCAATTCCTGGAAAATTCCAGCTCCTTCAACATCTTCATCCATCTTCACATCTTGTAACTTGCCTGATAAATCATCAGCAGTCGTATTTGCTTCCTTGAATTGTTTCTGTAGATTCTTGTTCTGATCTTCCACCTTTTGGAATAGCTTTCTAACCTGGCTCAGCTCGTCTTCAAGAACGGTTATCCTCTGTTTCATATCCGTAGAATCCGAAACAAGAGACGCCTTGTCCTCTTCTAGACCACGTATATGTTCATGTAAATCATCTGTCTCTGATCTTAATGTCTTCACCAGTGCAGTATGAGAAGAAGCATTGGTCTCTAATGAAACAACCCTCTGCACAAGATCATCAATCTTCTCCGCAAGCTTCACAACAGTAAGACTCTCATTTGAATCTTCTCTCTCAGATTCATAGCTCGATTCTTGAACCACATCAGCTTCTTCTTCTTCTTCTGTCTTAAACACCTCATCATGATCATCGCTTTCCAATTTCTCAAACTTGTTCCTCAATGCATCAAACCTCTCTTTAGCAGTAATGATTCTTTCCTTCTCAATTTCAGCATCTTCAACAGATTGCTTCTGTTTCTCCTCAAGCTTAGCTAATGTGTCCTTACAAGAGCTCAAGGCGGTGCTCGCCATCAACGTCCTAGCTTCACTATCATCAATCGCAGCACCAAGACCAAACTCATCTTGTAAGCTACAAACCCTCTTCTGCATCTCAGTCACTTCATTCTCCAAATCCCAATACCTCTCATAAGACTGTTCATACGAGCTCCTCACAAACTCTTTCTCGGTCTGTAACGCCAAGATCCCTTTCTGAAGCTTATCAATCTCCTCCAAGCCTTCTTCTTTACTCAATCCCGAACTCACAATCGCCGCTTCCCGCTTCGCTAGAGCAGAAGAAACTGTCCTTTTCAGACCAGCTGGTCCTTTTCTTGACAACATCATAGACTGGCTCCTGAATTCTTTCTTTGGTATCTCCGGGACTTCAGGTATGTTGCTTCCTTTGGGAATTAGATGAAGATGCTTAGGCGCGTTTCCTTCGAAATCTACATTTTCATTATCATCATCTTCCAAAGGAAACTGAACATGTTCAGGAAAAGCTGTCGCGATTGTGCGGTTTGCGCTTTGAAGCTCTCTAGACAAATGATCATAACGTTCAGCTAATGCACGGTATGATCGAAAAGCCTCCTCCACGAAATTAACAATCTCTGGCCTTTTACGGTAATACATCTCAGCTCTTTTGGCAAAAGTGTCTCCATCTTCATCTATGATCTTAAGTGTATACTCTACTTTCTCTTCCATATCTACAACACCAGAGAATTCTTTTGCTTAATCATGACATACAAGATCAAGAACATAATTAGGTGAAATGTTGTGAATCAAGAAAAATGAAACGTACCCTGAAGATTGTGTTCGAGCCATTTGGATTGCTTAGTTCGGATGTGGCTGGCCCACCACCATGAATACGCATTGCTCGCTGCTCTCTGCAACATCTTTTTAGTCCTAAGGAAGAAGAAGAAGGCTCAAACATGGCCTGATTCATCAATGTGATGTATGTGTAAAAGTTTGGAACTTTGAGACTTTCTGGATCAGACAAAGAAGAGAGACTCCGTGTGTAATGGACATGTCCGAGTATTTTGGTGGATCCTTTGATCAACCTCAATTTTAGGATGTTTCCTTTGACAAATAACAAAAAAGATAAGACCAATCAAAATTAAAAGATTTCACATTTCTTTCCTATATACCATAATTAAAGAGCACACGAGGAATTTACACTCCAACTCCATATATCATGTACTAAATAGCCTAATTTTAGCACATCTTTACCTCCATCTTTTTGTCTACATAACAATCCAGAACATGTTTTTTCTTCTTCTTAGGTCAAAAAACAAACATTACAAAACCTGTTTTAAAGATCCAGAAGGACAAGGTTATACAAAATGATCAGTAGAAATGTATTACCTTTATAAGCCAAAAGAACACAAAGAGAGTTACAAATTTAAGGTTATACAAATGGCTGCTGCTAATTCGGTAGAAATTTCTCACTTTTATAAGCCAAAAGAACACTAAGAGTTACAAATTCAAGGTTATACAAATGGCTGCTAAATTCAGTAGAAATTTCTCACCTTTATAAGCCAAAAGAACAACAACAACAAAATTTGCAAATTCAATACAAATGGTTTAGTTGAGTCAAAACCAACAATGGTCAAGCTAATTCAGTAGAAATTTCTCATCTCCTCCTCTTGGACGATGTGTGGACTCTTTTCCCAATGGAAGCTTCATTCTCTTCACTTCTTCTAAGCATCCCTCTAGTCTTCACTCCCACAACACTTGGAACCACACTCTCATCATCATCATCTTCAGTAATCATTCTTGATTTCTCACATTCCTCGTTTGATTTCTCAGTACGAGGACAAACCAAATCTCTTAAACTGTTAACTACATCATCCAAGATCTCACTTTTCAAGCAAGAAGAAGACGTAAACAGAAGATCCTCATACCTATTCACAGGAATATCATCAAACGAAATCCCGAAATGCTTCTTCTCCTCTACGGTTTCATCTTCATCGTGATCTTTCCAGCTATACGGAAACCCTAAGAGAAAACGATTGCAAACCTCAGAGGAAAACCCGTTCTGTAAAGTTCGCGATCGGTTGATGAATCCACTGATACAAACTCTAATCCCATCAGATGTCTCGAGCGTGGTACTGTCATGTCGTATTGAGATTGTTCCTGACGAGAATAGCCTCACTTCATATCCACCTTTCGATTCGAATCCTGTAACACCCAAAGCCTTCTCATTTGCTTTCTTCGTTAGCCACCAATCGGATAAAGAGACTGATTTTAGGGCTCCGACGACGGGAGTCACGGCTCCGGATGAAAACGGCGTTCGAGGGATTCCGTCTGTTCGCGGCGAGGAATTTGGTTCCGGCACAAATTTAGAGAAAGTACGCGGCGAGGAAATTAGTTCCGGCACAGCTCCGGAGCGAGTACGCGGCGAGGAAATTAGCTCCGGCACAGCTCCGGAGCGAGTACGCGGCAAGCAAATTAGTTCCGGCACAGCTCCGGAGCGAGTACGCGGCGAGGAAATTAGTTCCGGCACAGCTCCGGAGCGAGTACGCGGCGAGGAACGGCGTGCTGAGAGAAAAAGGGGTTTCGACTTCGTCGCCATTACAACGTTTTTCTGGAATCAATGGCTGGAATGTCCTTCTAACTTCAAACGAAATCCCATATGCCCAGTTATAACGTATAATTTATTAAACATTTAATTTAAATCGAAAAAATGGTTAGTTACATGTTGAACCTCTTGAAATTAAAATATTTACAGATCCAATCAGTTATATCCAAATGATTTTGGATATGGATCCGATCCGATTCGCAATTATAATCCACGAAATTGATAGTCCACCACAAATATCAACTGTTTCAACGTTTCAACATAATTCGATTTAAGACGCATCAATTTGTCTTTCTCTTTTCTTCTCCGTCACTAACAAAATAAAGGACAGTTCGTTCTAGGTTACTACAAACTCTAAAGAGAAACACAGCAATTCAATCGGACACTGCATATCGATAACTCTACGAAATTGCCGGTCAATACTTCCATATCACTCGTGAATCCACTCGAGAAAAGGCAAGTTAAAATCAAATGTAATTTTCGAAATCGATTACAAATTTCGAAATTGAATGGAAATTTTGAAATTGAATAGTTTTAGTGTAGTAATGGCTTAACGAATGGACTTATTGTGTAGGGGATACAATGGCTCCGTAAAAAAAGAGGTTGGCCCGAACTAGAAATGCCTCAGAAGTTGAAATGGGGCAGCGAAGCAAGCGTAGTCGAAGAGAAGAAGTGATCGTGGAAGGGAGCAACAGTCTTGCCGTGACGAACTCCGATGATGCGCTATCAACGGTATGTGGTTCGGTTTTGGCTTGAACAAAATAGGTAGTATTTGGTTATACTATGTGTATATAGGTCCTAGTATTCTCAAAACAAATAGTAACACTGGATAAAACTTGAATGGATTGCAGGATGAAACAGAGCCAATGCAACCAATGCGAATGTACTTTCAACCGAGTGAGTACAAGAAATAAGTCAAGGTATCAACCAGATGTTACATCCACCATGCGGTGAACAACATCAATGGTCTGAATCTTACGGCTTCAGAGAAGAATTGGTTTCTTAACCACCCTCAGTTCAAGCACTTCTTCTATATGCATGATGACCATAACCACAAAGTTATGGGAATGTGGATGCTCTTGCTTCGAACAGCGGAAGTTGAGAAGCGAAGGGAAGCTTGGTTCGTTGTTAATGGAGTCCCTATCAGATATTCTCTCAGAGAACACGCTCTGATATCTGGGTTAGATTGTCGAAGCTATCCAGAAAACTTCATGCAACTAGGGGGTATGAAATTCGCAGAAAGGCAATTTGGCCAAGGAACAACAATAACATATGCAAAAATTGAAGAGAAGCTACTGAAAATGAAGAAATCTCATCCATATAGGTTGAGAATGTGTGTCCTCTACTTCCTCTGTAGCATCATTGTAGGCAAGGAGAAGACAGGAAAAGGAGCACCATCTGTTGAGAAGTTTTTTTATTAGAGCTGTGGATGATCTTCAACTTTGTCGATCATTTCCATGGGGGAGATACTCCTTTGATCATAATTTGAGCGATATTCAGAAAGAGATGGATGACTACAAAGGAGTCGTCCATAGAACATGCAAGTTTCCTAGCTTTTGTACTTCGTTGGAGGTAAGTATGATATATGTATTCATTGTTGTTTTCATTTAATGTATTCCCTAACTTGCTAACAAAATGTGTGATGTGCAGTTGCTAGCGTTTGAGGCGATTCCAAAGTTGAAAAATAGATTCCGGAAAATGCATGCAGGCGCACATAATAGCTGTCCTCGGATGTGTAAAACCAAGTTTAAGCGATATGCTTTGAAAGGATTTCCTCTTTTAGAAATTTATGAAGAACTTGGTACAACTAAGGTTAGAAATCATAATGTAGATATCTTTTGAATGTCCATTAATTAGGTTTGTAAAACTAAACTTGTTTGTTTTTATACACAGGACATTCAAAGCGTCCTGCTGGCTTCCGATGAGGAAGAATCTATGCTTAATGAAATCATAGATGGGGAAGACGAAGATGTGCACGATGTTGTTGTTGAAAGTTGGATGAAGCTTAACAATCAAGGCAAATCTGTTTGTTTTGAAGAGATGTTCGATAAAGATTTGGCGTCCCGAGAAGAAGAGAAGAGTCAGGAGGAAAATGCGACCCTCCCTGTTCAGGATGAGGACAATTCGAACCTCCCTTCTCAGGCTGCTGCGGACATCCATGAGGAGAATTGGACCGTGCGGGAAAATGCGGCGCCAATCGGCATGGTAGTAAGGCTGCAACTAGCCATGGAAAAGGGATTTAAGGAAATCAATGATAAATTTGCTGCATATGAGACAAGACTAGTTGCTGTGGAAGAGTATGTAAAGGAACATTTGGATGCAAGGAGATTGTATGAAGACCCTGTTGATTATAACTTCGATGGTGCCGGTGGTATACAAGGGGACAGCAGCCTGGTGGATCCTGCTGAGAAGATAGCGTAGCACTTGTCATTTTCAAATGTTAAAAGAAAAATGGCACACTACGAAAAACTAAGTAATATTTGATGCATGGTGACGAAGAAAAGGACGGAGGGAAAGAAATAGAAGACACTGAGAAGGGAATGGAAGGAGAGAAAGGCGTAGAAGAAGGAGAAGAAGAGACAAATAAGGTATGAGTTGCAGGTGTTTTTGCTAAAAACTAAAACGTAAGAATATGTAACACTAAGTTAAATTTGATGTTTTTACAGGATCAAGTAGAAGAGAAGGATCAAGAAAAAGATACGGAAGGAGAGAAAGAAGGACATGTGAAAGCATTTGTGGCACCAATGGAGTCCCACGAAGCGACACATGAAGAGAAGGAAGAAGAGGAAGAGGAAGGACAAGAGGAAGGAGAAGAAGAGAAGGAAGACGAGAAGGAAGAAGAGGAAGAGAAGGAAAAAGAGAAAGAAGATGAGGAGAAGGAAGACGATGAGAAGAAGGAAGAAGAGAAGGAAGTCGATGAGGAGAAGGAAGAAGAGAAGGATGTCGATGAGGAGAAGGAAGCCGATGAGGATAAGGAGGAAGAGAAGGAAGAATCTGAGGAGAAGGAAGAAGAAGACAAGGAAAAAGAGAAGGAAGATGAGGAGAAGGAAGAAGAGACGTAAGCCGATGAGGAGAAGGAAGAAGAGAAGGAAGCCGATGAGGAGAAGGAGGAAGAGAAGGAAGAATCTGAGGAGAAGGAAGAAGAGAAAAAAGAAGAGGAGGAAGAAGAAGACACGGAAAAAGAGAAGGAAGAAGAGAAGAAAGAAGAGGAGGAAGAAGAAGAGAAGGAAAAGGAGAAGGAAGAAAGAGATGAAGAGAAGGAAGAAGAGAAAGAAGAGGAGGAAGAATAAGAGAAGGAAAAGGAGAAGGAAGAAGGAGATGAAGAGAAAGATGTAGAGGAAGAACAAATAGATCAAGAAAAAGAGAAGAAAGGACAGAAAGACGCTGATAAGGGACTGGATGGAGAGAAAGAGACGGAAAAGGTATGACTTATAGTTTAATGTGGTAAAACGAAAACGTCAGACTAGTAATACTAGGGTTACCTTGATGTCAGACTAGTAATACTAGGGTTACCTTGATGTCTTTTGCAGTATCAGATTGGTGGCCAGGAAGAACAAGAGAAAGAAAAACATGGTGAAACAGCATCAGAAGAAGAAAGAGGACCGGAAGATGCGATTTCACTGAAGAAATGTTCCACTGTGGTGAAGAAAGGGGACAAAAAGTTGAAGCTCAGTAAGAGGAACACATCATCTTCCTCACGTCAAAAGGTAATACTTGTTATTATGAAATTTCAAAGAGGAATACTTGGTAATAATTTGGACTACTTGTGCCTGCAGGATTCCATTATGAAGGAACCAAGGAAGGAACAATCGCGAAAGAAGAAGAATGAAGACGTGAAAGTTCTTGGGAAGAGGGAACGCAAACGGAATTCGAAGCTGGTGGATAGTCCTTACACCGAGGAAAAGAAAGAGAGGAAGAGGAACAATAAGAAGCAAAAATGAGTGAACTGAAAGACGTTTGTGTTGACATTAGGTTTTTGGAATACTTTTGGTATTTGGATGACTTTTGGTATTTGGATGAAATTTGTAGTACTGGTAATATTAGGTGAAACTGTGTTGTCTAAACTTAAGTTTGCTTGAAGCATGTTTACTTATAATTTCTGCTTAATTAGAACTGAAACTAAGAGTTTTACAATTTAGTGAATACAACTAAAGTATGAGAAATGTAAACATAAAACCGATATCATTCTGAATACATTAGATAAAGCCAAATATTATACATCATAATGCTTAGTCTTTTAAACATGGCTACAATGTCTTCAAACATAGAGTTACTACATCTAATTAACCATCATAATGGTGAGAGCAATGATCATCACAATGACTGCACCAAGAGCAATCACCAACTTGGCAATCTTCTCTTCGGTCTGAGTCACCTTCTGCTTGAGTTGATCAATTTCGGCAATCTTCTCTTCGGTCTGAGTCACCTTCTGCTTGAGTTGATCAATTTTGGCTTTTGCCATATAGAAATTGTCAATGTAGGTGAATAGCTCTATCTTCTCTAATACTGCTTCATAATCGTTATGAATGAGAGTAAGCTCCTCCATGATTCCTTCGTCCAACCACTTCCAAATATGGCATTCTCCATCTTCTACGTTTGGGCAAGTGAAAAACCTCCTTCCCGGGTCCATTGTGGAACGACAAGTATCGATTATTGCTCGTGATCCACAATAACATAGATTCATAATCCCATATTCTTTTACTGGGATTTCAATCCTTGCTAATCTTCTCCTAACACCACTTGAATCACTACGGCTATCACTTGAAGGTTGAGTATAGCTATGAATGCCCATCTACACAAAAAAGCATAATCACAACCAATAAACTCAATCTTTCTCGATCCAACAAGACAATATTTGTTGATTCAAGTTGAACTAAGTATTACACAAGTTGAACCAAGTATTACACAATTTAAAACCAAGTTGAACCAAGTATTACACAATTGAAAACCTAGCAAACCTAGAAAAACCCAGAAAACCCAGAATTGATCAGAAA